CCCCCCTCTCTCTCCGGCTGTGTCTCACGCGCCCTCTCTTTCTCTCGCCTCCTGGGCCAGGGTGTGTGTATGTGTGTGTGTTTCAAGGATAATTTGCATCTGTTATCAGCTCTTCATCCCATTGGGTTTCGAGGCATACAGACAAGTGTGCACCAGCCCGCGCGCAAACCACACACAAACACATGCGGAGTCTTTTTTTTCAATTTCCCCCGTTCTTTTTGCGCACGCACGCGCTTATAAACTGATAGATGATAGTTTCCGTCTGACGGAGCCTCTGTGCGCCTGTGATTATAAAAATGTAATGAGAGAAGGAAAAAAGATGGGAGAAGAAACGGGGGAAGGAGAAGAACAGGATGAAGAAGGTGAAGAATATAAAGCAAGAAAAGAGGACACACACACACGGGCGCGCGCACACACCGCTCCTCTATCCAACCAAAATAAAAAGCGATGCCTTAAGTTTTGCACAGGTTAGTGTTGGCTGCACCGGTGCTGCTATGTTTATGTGTGTCATTAATGAATCGTTCTTATTTCTCACCCTGATTCCTTCAAGTGGAGTTGCAGTGGAAGCGAAGGCGTGAAAATATCAGGGAACCCGACAGAGAGTGTTTAACTCACAATGAAACGAGAGATGGGGAGGGTAGATGGGGGGTGAGTAGACCAGAGTTTCCCTATAAATTTAACTGAGGTTTTAGCATTATTCTTTCCGTTTCGACTGCTGATGTTTGCGTGTGGCCAGAAAATAAACACGTCTTCTTATCATCATGTGCTTGTATAAATATGCAAGGATGACCAGCAAATGTAACAGGCGAGGAGAACGTGCAGAGGGGCTTGGTTTGCTTGTTTATGTCCTTTCAGCTGAGAAACAAAAAGGGGGCTTTACGACGCGCCCTTTGCAAAACTGGAGGCCATAAAAGCCCTATCCTTGCTACGTATCGTAATTTTCGTCTCGTCTTCCTTCAATTCCGGCACAATAATAACAACAGCAACAATAAATAAATAAATATTTGATCTAATTACCAAGACTCATCCACTTTGTGATGGGAGTTCCAGTACAGCAGCTGCTCTAAAGTCGTTTTCAGACTCGGTTAATATTATTTTATTTTCGAGCTATCGCTGCTAAAAGCAGCCAAAATAAACATTAAATGAATTAAAATTACCAGAATTGATTTTATTTACGTTTCACGGCCATGACACAAGAGGCCAAAATTCCGGCAACAGCCAGAATTACAGACTGAGCTCCTTTAAATCAGCTGATTGTCTGCCTGACTTTACGAGGAGTAATTGCTGCCATATTTTATTTCCCGAATATGATCTTATTGAAACTTCTTCACTCCGTGTTTTACACTTCCAATAAAGAGTATGATTATGAGATTTGATATCTACATGGTGAGATGAGAATGTGGTTCTCAAAAAAACCAAAACCAAAAAAAACAAAACAGCTAAATGTTCACACACTGGGCAAAACAGCACGAGGGCTCAAAGAAAAATAGAGTTCAGTTCTGCCGTAAACATCTAGACATATGCGTTCACACTCACAGCAGCGCATTTAGAGCGGGATTAACTAAATGAAAAATAACAATGCTAACAATTCCTACGTATTAAATCTACTCTGATCAAAATATCAGAGAATGGGTAGAAGAATATGATCGCACGAGGTAAGGCCTTGATGATATTTAAAATAAAACGTTTCCATTAAGACAAACATATATAGTATATTCACCTTTTACAGCAAACCTTTACAACCCCGCAGCAAGGTCTTCAATGAGAATTCTGGAAATACATATCCCGCATACCAATGGGTTATAAGTTTTTTCAAGGCCTCAGCCTCTTCCTCTTCGCCCACTGCGCTGTAAAACGCCCTACAACTACTTCAGATTTCACTATTTGTTCTAAAGCAAAGTGAAAAAAAAATGTCATCAGGTGTCCGAATTTCCTAAACCAAAATCAAAAAGTATCATCTTCTTCTTTAAAATAAATCTTTACAAAACATCAAAATGGAATAGGCCCAGTTTCGCCCCCTTCAAATGAATCCTTTTCCCGTCAAGGCAGGGAAAGCCTCATCGAGAATTGAAATATCCGTGAAGCAAGAGTGCCATCAAGCGGTCAGCTACAGTAAGGCCACAGGGGAGGAAGACAGCCTCTAATGTGGCTTTATGGTTCTATTATGTCGGCACATAAAGCTAAATAAGATGCTTTAAAATAAAACCCTGCGTCGTAATTGTGAGTCTGATGCGAGGGTCGATTTGGGATTTGTGGCGAAAAAAATGAAGTGAAATGAAAACAGATCCGTGGCACGTTAATGTGTTTCTGGAAATTAAAGGGGAAATAATCCGCTTAAAGCAGCCAGTAGCTGATATACTTTTTTTTCCTGGCATTATGAAATTTACTGTACTTGCCTTACTTTCATACCACAGAACACTGCCCCAAAAGCAAAAGTGAACTAAAGATAATAGATTTATTTTTCTGTCTCAAGGACACCTCTTTAACCAACAACAAACGAATAAATTCAAACCAGGAACCTCCACATTAAATGTAACACCAGTAAAAACTATAATTTTTAAGATTGCAGCTTTTTATCTGTGTTCTTTACGCCACACTACACTTTTCTTTATGTAAGGTTTTATAGCCCACCTAAAATAGATTACGTTTAATCCCAGGACGATTAGCTTCTAGACTTTATGTAACGGTTTGCATATAATAGATTTACTAATGTACACATAAATATATGTGTGTACGCAAATTTATGTTTTTATTTTTTTCTAATATAGTTAGCGTTTTTTTTATCATAACCGCGATATATACAAATACAAAGGCATGTAACTTGCCAAAAATGTGCATAAGATAATGTTATAAATAACTAATGTTGTACATATAAGGTTTCAGACCTTCTCGTCAGTTATAGATTCTCTCAGATTATAAATGAATGACTGATGCTATATGGATCCTAATACTATATTTTTGTGACACTTCAGTCCACTATTTACAGTTAGTTAAGAGAGGAAGTAAGTAGGTTAATGATGAAGCGTCAAAGAAAATAGAAAGCTATTTTCATTTTTAACGGTATTTTGAAATTGTGTTTTGGTTACCCTGATTTTCTATTTTCAAATGAGCAAAGCGGCAGTGATGTAAAGTGAACAGTGTGTTTCCCACTCTGTATCCAGTTCAGTGCAGACAAACCGGTTTTATTACAGCGCATGATTGCTTCTTTAATGTTTGGCGGGACCTGTGGCGTGATTGTGTGTGCGTGTGTGTGCGCGGTGGCTAAATTGCAGGTTGTAAACAGACTGTAAAAAGCAGTTGTTACCATTATCTGAAGAGACTGCCGCCCAGATCCTCAATTTCACCTCTGTGGGAATGTGAACACTATAAGTTGCCGAATGGTAAAACCACAGAGAAATGAATAGGATAACATTATTACTTAGCATAAGTAATAAAAGCATAAGACTCTGTCTCTAAATATAGCTTAGCACATGTATCACAGGTTTATAATCCCCTTGAGGGAAAAACAAACAACGAAAGAGAAACAAACAAACAAACAAACAAAAATCCTCTTGCAGCTCAATCCATCGGTTCAGCAACATGCGGAGATTGCTCTGCCCTCCCACCCTGTACAGCCCGAGCTCAAGCCCGATACTTGGTCAGCTCTCAATCTGTCTGACTGAGTCTGCAGTCTGCGTTTTTTTCTTTTTGTTTGTGGTGGTGGCTTTTATGGCTTCCGCTGTAAGTATGCATCTGAGAGAAACAAAGGGAGATGGGATTGAAGACAACACACACACACAAGGCTGCCAGAATAGGCCCATAGAACCAAACGGCTACAGAGCCATAAAAGTCCTGAAGCTGAAAACTAAAAAGGAGAAGGAGGATGTTTTTATTTTTATTGTTTTGTCTTTTTTCTAAGTTTTTTTCTCTGTTTTTTATCTATAAGCCAGGAAGTCTTAAATATAGCTACAATTTTTCAACGTTTGGACTAACATTTGCCTTCATCTCATGACTCCAGCTTAAGTTCACAAAAGGCTTCAAATAAATTATCAAGCAGGGAGATTTGAAACTTTGCTTTCATATTTCCTCCGTCTTTGTGGCTTTCCTTGCTTCGCTGTTCTTCTTCTCTAGGTGTGTTTGCTTTACAGCCGTTTAGTTCTTAACTTTCAGAAATTTATAAGCTATAAACTTTTATTGCCGTCATATTCTTTTATTGCGCCGCACCGCCTTGAATCTTTTCTCAGTCTCTCCCGCCTATTCTCCTCTTTTCCATCTTCTTCTTCGCTATTTTTACGACAGTCGGTGGCGGCTTCTTCTAACGCATCCGTTCCCATTCACCCCCCCCCCCCCCCCCAAGGCACACACGTAGCACATCCTGCTCCTCTTTTGCTGCTTGTTTCCGTGTTTGAAGATAGGAAGTGTGTAAAATAAGTTATGTGACAAACAAGAAAAAGAGCCGCAATAGAAAAACGCTGCTCGGACATATTGGCCTTAAATGAGAGAATACCTTACGATCGGATATCTATTTGTCTATATCAGACAGATTGCTCATCATTCAAAAACTATTTTTTTTTAGTATTATTACTGCTACTACTAATTACTACTACTACTGCAACTAATAATAATAATAATAATAATAATAATAATAATAATAATAATAATAATAATAATAATTATTATTATTATTATTATTATTATTATTATTATTATTATTATTATTATACAGTGGGTGTTGGTCTAATAACTTTGTTAAGCACTGTATTTTTTTAACCCCGTATCGAGGTTAAAAATTCAGATAATAAATATTATTGAAAATATATTAAATGATGAAATCTGCACATGAAATTTGTCCTGGGAAGTTTGATATGAATTACTTATTTTTCTCAAACTTCCTTTTTCAAATCTTTCCTTATTTATGATGTAAGAGTTGTAAACATATTGCTCT